TGGGTTGGGATGTTTTCTTGATGTGCACTTACCCTTTATATAAAACTCTCTCTTATACATGAGTTTCTATGGATTTGTTTCTCTAAAGTACCCAGGCTAACACAGACGATGTGCACAAACCAGAAACTTTAAAATCCAGTTTGTTCCTTTTAACTGTAGATTTTATGAAATCTAAATGAAGATCAAAGATTTATGATGAAAATTTAGCAAGTGAATTGAGATTACAGGGAAAGATGAGGTTTTCTGCTCCTGTAAAGATGTATAGCTTCAGAAATTCAAAGAAATTCAAAGCCTTTGTCCTTTAGGGTCATTATAAGTTGTATTTGACTAAATGGCAGTGAGTTTTGTGTGAGTTAAATATAAAAGATATACTGGATTTTAGTGACTTGGTATGAAATATATATATATCACATTAGCAATATATTTATTATTATATATGTTGGAATATGACATATGTATGTGAGTGGGCTTCAAAAAGTTCATTGAAAACTTCCATCATCTTTTAAACTATTTTTTAATAAACTTTTTGTAGTCCCCTCATATATTATATTAATTACATGTTAAAACTGTATTAGAACCTCTTGACTCAACCTGAATTTGTTCTAGACTTAAATATTTCTCACTTGTTCCATGACAGAAATTTCTTCTCTGGCTTTTTAAATATTGCTGGTGGTCTTTTCTTTCTTACTTGTTATTTTCAGTTTTATCTTTATATTATTATTTCTTCAATTTCATTTTTTTGCATTGTTTATGAAGCACAGAAGCATAGGTACATAGAGATAATACCTGATGCAATGGTTTATCTGGGATGGGGGCAGGGTTTGGGAAGGGTGAGGGAGGTTGGGGAGCAAACAATGAATGCGGGAGGGGTAAGGGAGCACTAGAACTGAACAATTCTTTTTTAAAGTCACTTAACCATGGAAGTGTATGCTATGTGAATTTTAAATCAAGAAAACTACTAAAAATTAAAAAAATAAAGAAACCAAAGTTGACCATTGGCTATCATAGGTGAAGGAGGAAGAGTTTTGGCTTAGGGGCACAGGATATCAATCATGGTTGGCCACATGAAGAGTATAATCAATGGCACTGAATTGTACATGTAGAAGTTGTTGAATTGCAGAAAGTTTTTTTGTGTAGATTTTTGCCACAATTTTTTAAAAAGTAATTACACTAATAACACTGAGTACAAAGAAGAAAAGGTTCTAAAATTGATTGTGATAATGATTGTACAACTCTTCTTATATGCTTGAACTACTGAATTGTATGATATGTGGATGAAGTGCCAATAAGACCGTTAAAAAAAACTATAGTATATATATTGGGTTAAATATACAAGGGGTATATATTTTATATATATTAAATTAAATAAAATATACAAGTGGGCTTTAAAGGCTCGTGGAAAATTCCATTTTTCTATTAATTCAATTTTTCATGAATTATTTGAAGCCCCCTTGTATTATTTAAATCAATTTGACTTGTTTCTTTTCACTGTTTAAATGCAAACATTGAATTTTTAAAAATTATGTAAGTGGTTCACATTGTAGTTCTACTGGACAACTCTGAAGCAAACGAAATAGAATTCTGCTCAGGATAATGAGCCCATCGGTTCTCAGCCCTGTGGTCATAAACCCTTGGTGGCATAATGGTTACCTGCTGGGCTGTTCCTTGCAAGCTAGGAACCACCAGCTGCTTTCTGGGAGCAAAATGGGGCTTTCTACTCCAGTCTCTTAAACTGACAGGGGCAGTTCTACCCTATCCTAACGGGTCACTATGAATTGGAATGGACTTGGGGCATTGGGTTTGGTTTTTTGGTTATTGTGAAGATTATATCAATCAATATGTGGAGCCCACACAGAAACACAGGAATCAGCAAGAGCTACGTAAGAATGACTTGTGGCTTGAGACTGTGACTATGTGAAATTAGGGTCTCTGCAGACTTCTCTATCTCTCAATTTCATTTTCCCACAAACTTTTTGAAGCGTCCTCACATACTAGTTGAGTTCATAAGGGATCAAAAATGCAAAACAAAACATCCAAACCCATAGTCATCAGGTATATTCCATTCACACCAGGGCTACAGGACAGAATAAAACTTCCTCATAGGGTTTCCAGATATTTATGGGTACAGACTGCTTCCTCCTGCTGACCAAATAGTGGATTTGAACCCCAGATTGTTAGTAGCTGAGCACTTAGCCCTGCACTATCAGGGGCCAAGACATAAGGGAGTAGGCAGTCCTAATTCCTTGTGGTCGCTGTCTTTATAAGGAAGCACAACAGCTCACACAGGGGGGAAAGGCTGGATGAGACTGTAGGGAGGGACTAGAGTGCTGCTGATGGTCATTCACATGGTTTAGAAAGACTTTCCTATTGAGCTGTCTCAGTGATTTCACACGAGCTGTGTGCACGTCTTACCCTGTCAGGTGCCACCCAGCTGATTCCACACCACAGCCACCGTAGGCCCAACAGTGGGTTACACTGCCGGATGCTGCCGTCCTCGCCATCGCCCTTCTGTCTGAGCCCACTGTGGCAGTCCATCTCGCCGGGGGCCTTATTCTCTGCTGCTCCTCTGCTTCACAGAGCATGATGTCCTTCTCCAGGGTCTGGTCTCCCCTGATCACATGTCCTGAATCCGGAAGATGCAGTCTCAGAAATCCTTGCCTGTGCGGTGCTCTCTGGCCGTATGTCTTCCAAGGAGATTTGTTGAGCTTTTTGGCAGTACTTTCAAGATTCCTCTCCGGCACCACAGTTCAAACACATGGGTTTTTCTTCCATCTTCCTTATTCAACGTCCAACTTCCACATGGCGATGAGGCTGTTGAAAATACCCGGGCTTGGGTCAGGCGCACTTTCCTCCACAAAGTAACACCTTTATTTTCAACACTCGAAAGAGATCTAGATTACACGGTGCAGAATTAGATTGCTGAATGCAATGTATCTGGTTCTGGGTTTAGGATAAAGGGATTGTAGTCAACAAAGGAAGAACATTGAGTCTGGACGAGCGGACAACACTTGATTTTACTTCATTGCTAAATAGGTGAGTCACGAAGCAATGGCGGGTGACCAACAACGGACGGTTCCGGCCAGGAAAGCCCAGAAGGCCCTGCGCCCTTACCCACAATTCTCCGCGGTGGCAGCGAGTCCTCAGGTGCTTCCCCACCCCCACTTCCGGCCTCGCGCCAGCAAAGCGGAAGCCATTGTCTCCCGCAGGGCCGCCATGCTGCTCGTACCTTCTGGGCCCATTACTTTGGCCAGGCCCTGGCATGGCCTCCTCGGCAACTGGAGCTTGGAGGGATACCACCCGAAGGGCTTCGACCTCGCGCTCTTGATTTTCTTCTTTCTGGGGGTCCTGGGCGTGGGGCTGTGGGTGAGTCTGAGCCCACAGGGGTGGGTGGGCCAGGCCCCTGCCAGTTACCGGACAACCAGCCCCTTGCTTCCCAACTTGCAGCACCTTGGATACCTTCCACCGCCAGATCCTCTGCCTAGCCCCGGCTGCCTTTTACTTCCTCCTTCAATACAAGGATATATACAGTGGGGACATGAGGACTGGAACCCTCTCCAGTCCACTTGGTTCCTATTCATAGCAACCTTACGTGCCCCAGAACAACATATGGTGCCTGACCCTGTGCTACCAAATGTTCCGTTTGAGCCCATTGTTATGACCACCGCATCATACCATCTGCTCTTGTTCCTTGACCTCCCACTTCTCCAAGCATGATGCCTTTCTCCAGGCCCTGGGCTCACATGGCAACATGTCTAAAGTGGGTGAGAAGAAGCCTCACGCTCCTCCTTTCTAAGGAGCATTCTGGCATTCATCCAAGACGATATATTCTCCTGGTAGTCCACAGTACTTCCCATATTCTTTGCCAACACTGTAATTCAAAGGCATCAGCTCTTCTCCAGTCATCCGTGTTCCTTGTCCAGGAACACGTCCTTGTCAATCACCTCCTTGTCGCATGCGTCGGAGGTGATTGAAAACACCATGGCTTAGTCAGGCACACCTTAGTTCTCCAAGTGTTCTTGCTCATCAACACGTTAATGAGGTGTTGTGTGACAAGTTTGTCCAAGGCGATATGTCTTTGGTTTCTTGACTACTGGCTTTGTATATGTGCTTTGAACTGTGTGGAGGAATGTCCTTTTGATTTCCATGTTGTTGAGTGTTTTTATCAGGGATAGTCTGCTTTGACAAATGCCTTTTCTACATCAGTCCTTATGGTCATTTGGTTCCTTTCCTTTGTTTTATTTATGTGGTGGATTATCTAGATTGTTTTCCAATGTTGAACTTTCCTGTATTCTTATATTCCTATGAATCCCAACTCGTCATGATGTACTATTTACTTGCTTGTTTTTGATAGTTTGTTGGATTCTGTTGGCTAGCATTTTGTTGGGAATTTTTGTGTCTGTGTTCATGGAGGATATTGGCCTATTTTCTTTTTCAGTGATATCTCTACCTGGTGTTGGTATCAGGGTCAGGTTTGTTCCTTAGGGTGAATTTGGAAGTATTTCATCATTTTCTGTGTTTTTAAATAGTTTGAGTAGAACTGGTGTCAGCTTTTCTCTGAATGTTTGGTAGAATTCACTGGTGATGTCATTTGGGCCAGAACTTTTTGTTGTTGGGAATTTTTTAATGACTTGTTCAATTTCTTCTTTGATGCTCAAAACCAAAAACAAACTCACTTCCACTGAGTTGATTCCAACTCCTATCGGCCCTACAGGACAGAGTAGAATGCTCCCCTTGGATTCCAAGATTTCGAATCTTTACAGGAGTGGACAGCCTCATCTTTCTCCCATAGAGCAGCTAGTGGGTTTGGATCACTTGCCTGGTCGTTAACAGCTCGCCTTCTTTTTGTGATGGGGCTGTTCAAATTCTCAACTCCAGTCTGTATTACTATAGGTACCTAGTGTGTTTACAGAAATTTCTCCATTTCATCTAGGTTTTCAAATTAGTTGGAGTATAGTTCTTCATCCTATTGTTATTGTCTTTCTTTCCTTGCCTTTCTGCTTTATGTCATTCATTTCATTTCTTATTTTTGCTGCTTGTATCATCTTCTTTATTTGATTTCCCAGTGGCCTGTTAATTTTATTAATGTTTTAAAAGAACTGATTCCGAGTCTTGTGGCTTTTTTCTATTAGTACTTTTTTTCTTCCAGTTTCATTTATTTCCACTGATTCTGGAAGAAGCCCTTGCCTTGCTAGGTGTGGTTGGGGAAGGCACCCATCTGTTCTGGTTTGAGGCAGTGAAAAGCATGTGCCTGCAGACTTGGGGGTGGCGTGCACCAATCCAGAAGGACCTACCTCTGGCTTTAGGTGAAGTGGGGACTGTGAAGCGGAGGTGTCAAAAATGACTGAGTGGGTGAGGGTGAGAGCTGCCTGTGCTTCTGTTCACGAGGAGGTTGTTGGGACCAAGGAAAGGCTCAAAGAGGATTGTATCATTCTAGTCACCTACTACTGGTCTTTACACTTGTGCTGGTTCTCCTGGGTGAGCGGAGCTGACCGTCAGGCCATGAACCTGCTAGGATACTGCCTGCCAAAGTTTAGAATAGCTGGGCTGTGTCAGGCCAGTTAACAATTCACCCATATGCCTCCTCTGTTCTATCTTCTCTCCGATCACTTTTGCCCAGCTTATTCTCCTAGTCAATATTCAATCTAGTTCTTGATCCTTACCTCTGACGCTCAGGGTTCCATGATTTCTATCCATATTTGTTTTACTTGGTCTCCTGTCATTGCAGTGGAGGAGGGTCTGGGTAGCATGTCTGCCTAATTTGTCCTGTTGCCGGTTCTTTCTTAAGGGGAAGTGGGTTACTCTGAGTGAATTATTCTTAGACTGTTTTGTAAATTCTTTTAAAATGTTTGTCTTCAGAGCAATGAAACTATTCTGTATGATACTAGAATGATAGGCACACGACATGAAGCATGTGTTGAAATCCACAGGATTGCCCAACCCAAAGAGTGACCCCAATGTAAACTATGGACTTAAGTTAGTAATAGCCTGTTGGTACTACTGGCTCATCAGTTATAACCAACATACTCCAGGGAGGCAAGGCGTTAATAATAGGAAACACAATATGCAGGGCAGATGGGATGCGTGGGAAGTCTCTGTATTATTTTGTGCACATTTTCCCCCATAAACCTAAAAATTCTTTTAAAAAAATTAAATCTATTGAAAAGACTCACTGCCACCCTCACCCTCCAATAATATTGCTGATGTCTTCCTTAGGAAAGGTCGGCTGTGCACATAGTATGCCCTCAAGCTATATTTCCTCAACTGGATTTGGAAAGCTACTTCTTTGGTTTAAGAATTTATGATGTAAAAAGCCCCACTGTAAAAATGCTGATAGCCCAGGCAGTGGTAGTAAGTTAGCTCTTCTCTGGGGAAATCAAGCTGTGCTCATCCTGGGGTCCTGTTACAGATGGTGGTGTTGGTTGGCTCTGACTCATGGCCATTTGACACACAGCAGAGGGACACTGACTACTCAGCACCATCGTCTCGCATTGAATTACTCCTTGCTCTGTTGCGACCCATGGGTTTCCACTGGCTGGTTCTCAGGAATCGATTTTCCAGGCTTTCCATCCTAATGTAGAAGTTCCATTGGAAGTGGCCCTGCTGAGCTATGAAACACCAGTAGCGTAGCTTCTAGCATCATAGTACCTCACACACAAGTCAGTGCAGTATGACCAACTAACCCATGGGTGGTGGCCGTGGTTGGGTCTGTTGTTAGGTGCTATTGAGCCCACTTCAACTCACAGTGACTTTACTTAAAACAGAACAAAACAGCGCCCAGCCCTGCTCCATCCTCACAATCGTTGCTGTGTTTGAGCCCATTACTGCAACCGTGGTGTCAATGCATCTCATTAAGAGTCTTCCTCTTCTTCTCTGACCCTCTACTTTGCCAAGCTTGATGGCCTTCTACATGGACGAGGTCATGCTAATCTTACAGCATCCAGAAAAATCCTGAAGGATTTTACTTTGGCCACTGGAGGGTCTGGGAATCAGAGTTAGGAACTTGGAGTCAAGGGGACATGGATGCCTTGGGAGGACGCCATCATAATGGACGGTGACTGCTTTCCTGGAGGAAGAGATTGAGCCATCCCTGACTGATCCATCCCTGAACCACTTCTCCCCCAGACTTTCCCAGAGAGCAGGTCACTGGTTCACTCGTTGGGAAAATAAAATACAATAATTGACATCATATTATCTAACAAAAATACACTGACCTCATGAATTCTTTTAACTGGAAGAGGCACATTCTCTAGCTAGGCAGCCTTGGTGCTCCTAACACAGGACGTCATGAATTTTCTTACTACAAAGAAGGGAGGAGCGTGGTCTTGGAGTATCTGATAAGGAGTCCTGGTGGTGTTAAGCACTGAACAGCTAATGAGAAGACTGGTGATTTGAATCCACCAGGCTCTACAGGACCAAGATGAAGGAGTCTGCTTCTATAAAGATTTACAGTGTGGAAACGCCACTGAGGCAGTTCTGCTCTGTGCTAGTGTCAGAATCACCCCCATGGCGGTGGATTTGTGTGGCCTAGGACGATGTCCCCACAAATGACAGCCTTGTGTCTCTGGAGCAGTTGGCAGTATCTTATATTCTCTTTCAGAAACTGATGTCAAGCAATCGTTCGACGGTCCAAGACTTCTTCCTGGCCGGCCGGAATCTGTCATGGTGGCTGGTGAGTAAGGATTGCACACAGCATTCCACTTTCCAAAGCAGTTATGTTCCGCATGTTCACTAACTTAGCTGTCTGAGATGCAAAAGGACCCAGAGTTATGAAGTTGGGAATGCTGCATCATTAGAGTTCTCTCTTAACTCTTAAGTCAGGTCTTATCTAAAGTCTCCATTGAACACATTTTAATTCACTATTTGCCAGGTACCCAGTGTGTACAAGCCATTGCTGTAGGGTCCAGGGTGAGAGGTGAAATTGGTCGCCCTGCCCTCCGGAAGTGCACGTTTAGCATGGCAGTTAGACATAAGTTGTGTTAAAGAGTGCACTGGTCGGTCAGCAGGGAACACAGGGTTGCTTCAAGGTGGGTGTAGTGCAGGCAGTGCCAGGCGGGAAAGAACTTACAGAGGTGGGCTGCTTGAGCAGGAGTCGGGAGACTGAGTAAGTGTTTGACATGTAGGTGAGTGAGAGGTCTTCCAACATGGATATTTGGCCCAGCATAGTGGAGGATGGTGAGCAGCAAGGGAGTTCGAATACTGACTTGACCTCTTCATTTGTTATAAGTCTATTAAGACTACCTTGGGTCAGTTTGGGTACATTTATGTCCATTTAAGAAACTGTCCATTTCATCTAGTTATCCCATTGGTTGCCTTAAGAGTTGTTTATAATAATCTGTCATCATTATTTTTATTTCTACTGGGCCAATTATAATTTCCTCTTGTTTCGTAATGTTTAGTTATTTGCATAGCTTCTCTTTTTGGTCAATCTGACTAACGGTTTGTCTATTTTCTAGGTGCTCTTTTCGAAGATCTAACTTCTGGTTTTACCGATTCTCTCTATTTTTCCGTTTCTGGTCTTCGTCTATTTCTGCTCTTCCCTTTCTCCTGGTGCGTGTCGGCTTAGTGACGCTTCTCTTTCTAGTTCCTAGTACTGCCACGTTAGCTTGTGGCTGACAGCCGTCTTCTTTTTTCACCGAGGCATTTCTGGCTGCAAGCTTCCCTCTGGTGACCACCCCGGCTGTTTTCCAGGAGTTTGGATGTGGTCTGCTTCTGCTTCCATTTGACTCTAGGAATTTTGTGAATCTCTTCATTTTCTCCTGACCCATTCTTAGTTTTTAATAGCGTTGTTTCATTTCCACATGTTGGTGTATCTGACCGTTATTTTTGTTGTTCTTGTTTCTGGTGTCCCTCTATTGTGGCCAAGTCGATCTTCTGTGATTTCAAGTATTGAGAACCTGAAGAGGCCTGTTTTGTAAGCTACCCTATCCTGGAGAATGACCCGCGGGCACTAGGTTGGAATGTATTTTGTGCTGTGTTGGTGGAGTGGTCTATGTCTGGTAGGTCTGTAGGTCTGGTTTCCAGTGTCCTTCAGCTCCTTTGTCTTCTCGTTTCGCTTCTAGCTGTTTTGTCTAATGACGGTGGTATCGTAACGGGACAGAGGCAGAAACACACACACACATGGATGGGTAGGAACACATGAGACAAATACATTAAAAAGCCCAAGCATGCCAAGGATTTCCAGCAGCTTCTAGAAAACTAAAAAGGACGAAGGAGGACTTCACCTTATAAAGCCAACACCCCAAATTAACTGTGAGAAAATAAATGTCTGTTCCTCAAAGTCACCCCCATGTTGGTATCTTATTACACCAGCACTAGCAAACTAAGACACTTAGTATGAATGTGCATTAAAAAGAAAAAAAACCAGATGAGAATTCAGATATATAATTCTTTGATTTTTCAGATTGGTGCTTCTCTTTATGCTACGAATGTTAGCAGCAACTACATTTTGGGCCTGGCTGGGGTGGGAGCATCGTCAGGGATTGCTGTTGTGGCCTTTGAGTGGAATGTAAGTAATATCTTTTTGCAGAAACGAACCTCAAGTTCAGGAGCCCTGGTGGGGTAGTGGTTATGCGTTGAGCCACTAACCACAAGATCAGCAGTTCAAAACTACCAGCGCTCTGAGGAAGAACGATGGGACTTTTGAGGCTTTTGACTCCCATCAAGAGTGACAGTCTCTGCGTCGGACAGGGCAAGATATGGCAAAATA